CCTTAACAGCAACCCAGGTTGCAGGCTGTGTTCGACAATGCCCATGTCTCCACGTTCTCGTCTCGTTTCGAGGACTGGCGCAAAGTTGATCTTAAAGCCACGGCGCAACTTCAGCAGCATGTGAAGTCCTTGCAGAAGCTGAACGAAAGCATTGGCGGCTTTTTGGCAAGATGTTCTGCCGTCGAGACGTTCCAGGAGTTCCATGGGACCATAGACACCCTTTCACAAGCCATATTTGAGTTGAAGGATTTCCGCGAGGCCTTCACCAACAGCATTGAGGAAATATCAGATGGTATTACTCAGCGCATCTTGACTTCTCTACGTGCCTTCGACGAGGAGAGATACTCCTGGCTGCATAAGACTCTGGAGGCACAGGGACAGAGTCAGGAGAGTATGATCATCACACAGCGGAAGATTCTGAACCGCTTGGATAGTGTGGGCTATTCTGTTGACCAGCAGGCAAGAGCATCACAGGCCCAGAAAGAGCAGCTGGCGAGAGTGGATGCTGTTCAGTCAGCCATACAGCAAGACTGCCAATGCCTCGTGGATTTGCAGCAGAACGTTTTCAAGAGCTTCCGCAACTCTTCCGAGCAACAAGAGTCGTTGCAGGATAACATCTTCAGCAAGATTGGAAGTGGCATGGAAAATCTTGAAAGCTACTTGGCTGCTGCCTTGAGCGTGTCCCCTACGACTTTGACTTTTTGGGCTTTCCTTGCAATTTCTACAAGGAAGGCTGAAAGTTTGACTTTTGGAGGGAGCCTACAGTCCGTTAAGTCCTGCAAGCCCCATGTAAGTTTCGTTTCCATACCGCTCTCCATCATTTTTCTAGTGTTTTTCCATTGTCCCTGAACTCAAAACCCCAAACCCTGATCCCTAAACCTTTAACAATCCCTGTGTAATCCCTAGACATCCCCCAACCCTAAACCATAAACCCTAAACCCTAAGGCTACATGGTCAACTCCTTGGGTTGGACTTCCGATTTGCCATCGCTTTCTGCGGCCTTTAATGGCTTAGAAGCGAGGCGATGTTTATTACCATTACTCAGGGTTTAGGGTTTAGGGTTTAGAGTTTTGTTACCATTACTTAGGATTTGGGGCGGTCATTTTTGCTTTAGAAATTTCAAAAATTGAGAGTTTCAGATTACGGAAATTTGGGAACCCTAAGTAATGCTAAGGTTACATGGGCTTGAGGGTTTAGGGTTTGAGGTTTGGGGTTTGGGGTTTGAGGTCAAGGGTTTGAGGTTGGGGGCTTAGGGTTTAAGGTTTAAGGTTTTGGGGTGTAGGGTTTAGGGGGGGAATAGGGATATACGCGGACGGATTATATAGGGATGCCAAGGGACTACATGTGGATATGTAGGGATTACGTAGGGATATGCAGGGATCATACCGGAATTCTTGGGGTTAAGGATTATGGGATGGAGGGCTGAAGTATCAACCCGGGAAAATCTGTTGGAAAGTGGCTTAATGTGGGGATTCATAGACTTCTCCTTTTTTCTGGGTTTTCATTGGTTCAGACATCCATTTTCCGGAGTAAGAGGGGTTTACAATATCCCCAAAGTCATGTTTATTGGGACCTTTTACGGAACCACCCTAAACCCCCCTAAACCCTAAACCCTAAACCCTAAACCCTAAGCCCTAAGCCCCAAAACCTTGAAGGCTGACGGCGTGGGAGACGAAGTCGCTGCAGGATGCTATGGACCTGCGACTGGAGGTGGATGTTTAGGGTTTAGGGTTTAGGGTTTAGGTGGATGTTGAGCGTTTTCAAGTACGCCTTTGGGAGTCCTCCTAATTAGGATCAGGATCATAGGTGGGAGCTTTCATCACTTGGGGGGCCCAATATACACCCCCAAAATAGTAGAGTTCTTCTGATACAAGCGCCAGAACGGGATCACTAATGTACGGAAACCTTGGTCTCTAATCCCTACACCCTGAAGCTTACATATTCCTAAAAGACCCGTGCATATCGCCCACGACCTAGATTGCACCAAAAAACATAGAGGCTAATCCCGGAACCATGAATTCTTAACGCTGACCGTAAACCCCCGATTACCCTTCTTCCCTGATATTCTAGCTACCTGAACTATCCAAACCCTAAACCCTAAACCCTTACATTATCCAAATATATCCCCGCCTATATCACAAAACCTCCAGGTTTCCAAGTTGGAGAGCGCCTTGCGGGAGAGTGAGGCTGACTTGGGTCGAACTCGACAGGAGAAGGATGATGGCCTCGTGCAGCAGGCACAGGGTTTTAGGGAGGTTTAGGGTTTTGGGGTTTGAGGGTTTGTGGTTTGGGGGTCTAGGGTTTGGGGTTTGGTTCAGGGCTTGAGGGTTTAGGGCTTAAGGGTAAAAAAGGGTTTTCTAGTGTTGAGGGTCCATTGTTTAGAGTTTTAGATCTAGGGTGTCGGGGTTATACAGGGGGTATATGTGGTTGAGGGATATTACCCCAACAACAGAAAATCAAATGGAAGAGAACATGGAGAATGTAATGCAGACTTGAAACTTGGTTTCTTTATTTCCCAGCTTGAACATTTAGAAGGGTTCAAAGGGCTTGTAACTGGGTTTAGGGTCTAGGGTTCAGGGGCTATGTGGGGAGTTTTTGGGGTTGTATAGGTTTCTGAAGGATTATATACGGTCTAGTGATATCACCCTGACAATGGAAAATCAAATAGAAGAGGCAATGGAAACTTTAATGCAAACTGGAAACTGGGTTTCTTTAGTTCCCAGCTTGAATATTTCGAAGCATTCAAGGGGCGTATAATACCCTCAAAGCAAGGTGTATGCTAGTTTCCATTTGATTTTCCATGTTCTTCTCCATCTAAGATTTTCCATTGTTGAGGTAATAGCCTCAAACCAAAGGTAAGTCTCGTTAACCCTAAACCCTAAACCCTCCTAGATAGGCAACCCTGAGGCAGCTCTCAATGAAAGCCTGCACTCGCTGCAAGACACTTTGCAGCAGACGAGCTCGCAACTTGCAACCGCAGAGCTTGCATCGATGCTGAACAGCATCCTAGGTACCCCAGCAGTACCCCTTTTCCCTTTTTGTTGTTTAGAGTGAAGGGTTTAGGGTTTAGGTACCCCTTTTTTATATGGGGTGTCTCTTTTCTCACTGTTTCGTACCCTCATCATTAAGGGGTTAATGGGGAACCTAGGCATGAAGAGGATTCGGGAGATCGAAATCAGGGGCAACGTGAAGCTCGACAGACAGTTTGGTCGAATAGTGTTGCTTCAGCAACTACCGTTCCTTCCCCAGGCCCCTGCCAAAGATGCCCTAAACCCTAAACCCTAAACCCTACACCCTAAACCCTAAACCCTAAACCGCGCTTCAGCAACTACCCTTCCTTCCCCAGGCCCCTGCCAAAGATGCCAAGACTCCGGTCACAGTCACACTGGCAGACCCCTCGCAAGCTGAAGCCGTGTTAGAAGATCTCTTGGACACTGGGTTGCTGTTAAGGAAGTTAAATTAATGTACTATATTGGGGAAACCCTATTATGTACTATATATACCCATTATAGTAACTTAAACCCTAAACCCTAAACCCTGTACCCATTATGGTAACTTAATTTAAGTTCCTTAACAGCAACCCAGGACATAGTGAGCATGTTCCTGGGCTCTTGTAAAACAAAATTTTGCATTTTTATGGATACCTGGGCCCAATATCAATTAAACAAGATCATTTTTAATTGTATTTCAACAAGAACCCAGGTTCCATGTTCCACTCCACATCAGCATCAGCTGTAAGCTGCCCAAGGGAGGCGACACAAACGCCTGGCAGGACATGGCCACCAAACGAGCGCAGATTCTGAAAGACTACTTAGTGGACAGTGGCTTTCCAGCGGACAAGGTGCAGGTCAGTGGAGCTGTTGGTGCAAATGAAATGCAGATTTTGTTATTGGATTCCAGCATTTTCCCTCCAAAGCCCCCTGCAAAGAATGCACGAGGAGCGTCCAAGTCGCCCCGCTAGGCGTGCTTTTGTCTTCATGTGGGAGTGTCCAGCGACAAGGGGACCCATATAACCCCACCCCCCCCCAGGAACGGCTTACTTGAGAGCAACCTAAGACACCCTTTGAAGACACGGAGGCCCCCACTCACGTCTCACGTCAGCACTGCAGCCCGCTGTTCCGACGGTCAATACGACTTCGTGCGGTGAAGGCCTAATGTGCACATGACTTTGATGCAGCCAAAGAGCTCACACGTTTGCCATGGGCGCAAGGTGGAGACTACCTCCACCAAGTGCCACGGCCCATAGCTGGCAGACGCAATCATTGCCAGACAGATTTTTCTATTGAAACGTACCTGCATGTCTGTGCCAAGGGTCGGATATAAGTTCTCGAAATACATGTAGCCACATGTTTATGCCACGTCAGTCCTTTTGGCTAAGCTTCACAGGCAGATGAGTGTGCAGCGGATTGCAGAGTACATGCAAAGCATCTGAGTGCCATTTATATGAGACATGCAGCACCTCAGCACCATCACTTCGCTTGCTCGCCACGTTTGGTGCCTAGAGCCGTATTTTCCACTTTCCTGCCTCGCGGATCTCGGCAAGGAGCAAGAAGGGCTTCTTGGCTGAAACCAGTGAAGCTTGTCCATTGTTGTCTTACTTTGCTTGCTCTGCAGGACAAGGCTTGGTTTCCTGTGTGGCATGTCGGCAGCTGCCCTAGCAGCCATTCAGCGGAGTGCTCACGAAGATATGGCTTACCGGTTAGTATGGGATAAGAGAGCGTGATTCCTATAGTATATTTGTATGACAAACTCCCTTATTCCCTATATAGCCCTAAACTCTAAACTAGGCCTGTATTCCTTACTATAACCTATAACCCTAAACCCCAACCCTAAACCCTATATACGACCTTATTCGCAACAATAGCCTATAATCGTCTATAACCCAAAGCCCTATATACGCCCTTCTTCCCCACTGACGGTCCTGCTCATTTTGGCAAGGTCACCGTGTATGATGGACAGTATAGCTTCAGGCCAGAAGACAGCTGATGAGAAGCTCACCGGTTGAGTAGTGTTTTATTTGGGGATACTATGGTACCCAATATCTAGATTACATCCTCCTTTTGGGGTATAGTATCCTTATATAAGGAATATAGTCTTACTGGGTTTCACCACCAAAAAACCTGTACTCAGTTGAGCTATGGTCTAAACTCCTTCAAGGGGGTTATATTGGGGGATTACACATAGGGTCTAGGGTTTAGGGTCTAAAATCCTCAACGGGGATTATATTTGGGGATTATCTAGGGTCTAGGGTTTAGGGTCTAAAATCCTTAAAGGGGTTTTACTGGGGATGATGCAGGGGACTACTATAGGGGTATACTAGGAGTTCAGACGATGGCTCAGTTGACGGATGAGTCCTAAACATGGGCCCGTAATTGAGTTCGTAGGGGTTTATAGGATACTAGTAGATATATGAGCTTTGGGCCCTTAGTTGAGTTTGTAGTAGGGGTTTATAGGGTCTAGGCTTCATAGGGTATGTAATGGATAAAGAAGAATTGGATGTACCCAAAACCCAAAACCCTAAACCCAAAACCTTAAGCCCTAATCCCTAAACCCTAAACCCTAAACCCTTATCCCTAAACCCTAATCCCTGAACCCTAAATGCAGGCAGAATGAGCTGGCGACGAAGGGCATCCAGCATGGAGGGCACCGCATGTCCTCGGAGTTGCTCGGATGTACTGCTGTATTATGGGGGGCATTGCTACGAAGTAGAATTTGGGGATAATATGGTAATATGGGGATAATGGAGAAGACAACGGAAAGTATTATAGTATAATTCTGTTTTTCTGAGGGTTATTCTGGGGGATAATTTTTTTGCTTGGCCGTGTCACTGAGGCAGTCCAAGGCTTTTGAGGCAAGTCCCTTCATGGTGAAGGCACGGCAAGAAACTTTGTTTGTCACTGTTACATTCGCGGGTAGAGATGCCAGGCGCGCCAGCAGGAGCAATATGTGTCTGCCACCCAGCCATGAGCTTCGCGTGAGGAATCTAGATCCCCGAACCCTCAAGATACTCGACATCTGCTTTCATCTTGGGTGTTGCTGTTTGGGAGTGGCCATCGATACGCACCTTGAAATTCAAGGCCTGTTGACGTAGAAGTTCTGAGTCCCGAGAGTCGTTGGTCTACTGTCATGCTTTGCACTCGTTATGACAAAAGCAGTAGCAGTAGTAGTAGTAGTAGTAGTAGTAGTAGTAGCAGCAGCAGCAGCAGCAGCAGCAGCAGGAGTAGTAGCAGTTGTAGCCGTCGTCGTAGTAGTTGTTGTCGTTGTCGGCGTCGTCGTCGTCATCGTCGTCGTCGTCGTCGTCGTGTTGCTGGTACTGGTGGTGGTAGTACCAGTATTAAAGTAGTAGAAACATCAGGAAGAAAGAGGAACCCTACACCCTAAACCCTAAACCTTGGGTTATTCCCCCTTACAGTAACAGTTACCACAAGGGGTAATAGGAATTATAGTAGCCCCTTAATAAGGCCCCCTTAGAGGAAGTCATTGTTAACGGTCAGGTCGCAGCTGACCAGTGAGCGCGACAAGATGCGCAAGCAAACAGACAAGGACAGGCGGATGTGCTCAGGTGACCTTGTAACTTACTGGTCAGGAACCCTAGGAAGCATTTAACTATAGGCATATAATTTCTTTACAATAAGAGGTCCTACCTCAATTTTTAAATGCTTGGGTTTAAATGCTTCCTAGTCCCCCTAAACTGGGGGTTTGTGGGTATAATCCTTATATAAACCCTCTACAACATATTCCCATATTCCCTACTAAGAAGCCCAATATATGTAGCATACCCGATCATACTGTAGTAGTTTCCATCTTCTTTTTCATGAACCCTATCATCTCTGTATACTTCCTATAAAACACATTCCCACAGTCTCTACTAACCCTAAACCCTGAACCCTAAGCAGTAGTTTCCATTTTCCTATATAACCCCAATATTATACCCTTATTCTTTCGTGTAAGCCCTATAACACATTTATATAAATCATTGTATATAAACCTTATATGACACATTTCCATATTCCCTACTAAGAACTTGTAAGGTAAGCAAGCTTGTAGAGCCGCGGAGGAGTTCAATCCTAAGGACGATGACTTCACTGCCCCAAAGGCCAGTGCTACTCCAGTTTACTTGAGCTATAGTCTAAACTCCTGAAAGGGGGTAATATAGGGTCTAGGGTTAGGGTCTAAACTCCGTAAAAGGGGGGGTCATTTAGATTATGGCTCATTTGTTCAGAGTGATGTTCCTAATGTGGGGTTTCCCCGAGCTTAGGTACCTTGTCTCGGGGTCCCCATAAAAAGCATTGTAGTATTTTTGGGTCTATATTGGGGTCCCATATTTGGGGAAACTACCATGTCTGTCCATGGAGGCTCACGACTATGACAAGGGCGTCAACTACTACACCGTCCCTCGGTTTAGGGTTTAGGGTTTAGGATTTAGGGCAGTTTTCATAGGCTTCATAGCCCTGAGCGGCCGTAGGTGTTTGAGAATGAACAGGTCCTTGGTGTGGATGAGTACGCACCTTTGGAGGACATCAAGAAGGCGCGCCATGCATGAAGTCGAGTCGAGTCTTCAGTCAGCGGCAGCTTTGCGGAGGCTTACAAAAAGCTCTCTCTCATCTATCATCCCGATAAGATGGCAAATCTCTCCAAAGAGGACTGCTCACAACACGCATGGCCCTGCAGAACGAGTTCCCTGAGCACATTTCTCGAATTTCTGTTATCTACAATCCTAAGATCCATCTGAAATTGCAGTCTTTACCAGGGCTTCATGAAACTTAGAGATACCCTAAACCTAACCCTGGACCCTAAACCCTGAACCCTAAACCCTGATCCCCAAACCCTGAATTCTAAACCCAACTCCTCTGACCAGGAGCAGGAAGAGAGGGCTGGAGTCTTCATTGAAATCAAGCCGCAGTCTCAGTTTGAACGGTTAAGGGTTCTAGGGTTTTAGGGCTCTAGGGTTTAGGCTTTTCGGCCATATGGGAGTTTATCATAAAGTCCCTCTATATTCCCCACTTAGACGTCCTGAACCTCCTGATAATTCATATGTCGGGATGAGAAACTGCCTTATCTTCAAGCAGATTTCATTCCGAGCTCAGCATGTATGGCGGCAGAGATCTTTGAGATAGACGGTCATTTTGGTTATGCCCAGGAATGCCTACCTTGTTCTCAGCGACCAGGCTTGTTCATATTCCGTGAGCTTGTGCTGCATTTTCTGGCTGTTGCCTGCATGCATGTGTATCTGAGTAAATAGAATATGGCTTTGGGTATATAAGTTTTCGATCCCGACATACCCCATAGTCCATCTACTGAAGGGGGACTATAAAATCACATGGCTTGAGGGGAGCATGATGCCGCTGCCTGCTTGGCCCAAATTCTGTCGTCACATTACAGAGCCCATTCCAGGAGGACATGCGCAGACGTTTGGGATCAATTAGGATCAATCAGCGTCTAGAAGCCCTGTGAAGGACCCCTCTGGAATGGGTTCGCATCCGGTGATATGAAGGCGCGGCCTTCTTCAGAGCCTTGTGTACTGAGTATGACAGCAGCCGTGGCAGGTCCTAAATGTCTTACTATTTCTGCAGTTGCACTTGCATCTGTTCCATGCGCCACGGGCTCATTTGCAGGGATGACAGAAGTGCAAAATGCTTGGCCAATCCGGATGCATTCTGATGTGAGCAAGGTTTCGCAACAAGAGCGGCAGGTGACTTGATCAGCATAGTCTGAAGCCACGACGTCATCCTGTCTGGTGCATGAGCTATCGTGAACATGAAGGTTAGCAAGGGCTATCGTGAATATGAAGGTTAGCAAGGGACTATTCAGGGTGGACGTATGGTTTCTTTTGTAGTTTTTGTAGCTTAGTGAATTCTGATCTCTGATATAGTACTCTATAAGGAACCCATGTCCATTAATTTATGGCAACAACTGATTGTAGCTCGCATCACATTTATGCACCAAGGGCAAGTTGCCTGC